CTGTTTGTTTTCTATTTCCAGCATTCCCTCAGCTTGTGTTTTCTTTATTGTCTCAATTTTACTTTTCAAATCTTGAATTGTTTCCTTCATCTGTTTAATTACTTTTTCTTGGCTTTCTTTGATTTCTTCCAATTTTTTGTTTGTTTTTTCTTCCATTTCTTTAAGGGAATTTTTATTTCCTCTTTATTGGAGTTTTTCATTTATTCTTTAAGGATCTCTATCATCTTCTTAAAGTCATTTTTAGGATAGATTTCTTCTATTTCTTCTGCCTTGGTATGTTCAGGTCTTGCAGGTACAGAATCACTAGGTTCTGATGTTGTTATCATATAGGTCTTTAGTTGTTGCCTGTATTTTTGCACTCGCATCTACTCATCTCTTCTTCTGCTCGGTATAGGCGGTGTCTGTGTCTGAAGGTGCCTCTCTTCTTCTAATTGTTAGTCTTGGTCCACTAGGAGTTCTTTGTTAAATCAGTGCTGTTGGCCTCTGTTTTTCAGGAGCAGCTGTTCCCAGTTGGTGTAGTGTAAGCTTATGATTCTAGTGATCTGGTTCGGTGGCTGGTCGGCTCCTTCTTTTGTGTTCTCAGGTCACGTTTTGCTCATTTGTCAACTTCTCAGCTGATTTTGTTTCCTAAGACTGCAGACTGTAGGATTCTGAATCCTCTCCCAAATGGATCTCAGCTGAGTAGATTATTTAGTAGGGTAGTCTCACCAACACTTCCAAGTTGTTGGGTTTCATAGGATCAGCAGCTGGGCCTTGGGTTGGCCTCAGACTGAGTGTTCGTATCCATTCTGGTCATGCCTCACGGAAATGGCTCCTTCCCCGGGTGCTGGGGTTAAAGGTGTCCCTGTTCCAGGTTCTTATTCTCCTTGTTTTCACTAACTCCTCAGCGTATAATAGCTCAGTTTCTGGTCTTTATTATGACCGCGTCTCTGCCACTGCTTAGCCCGCCTCTGCCACAGCTCCTCCTACCTTTGTCCCAGCTCCATGTGCCTCTGTGGCAGCTCCGTCTGCCTCTGTCACCACTCCGGCTGCCTCTGCCTCAGCTATCTTTATTTAGGGGTTTTGTTTTTTGAGATAAGGTCTCTTTTTGTAGCCCTAGCTGTCCTAGAACTATATATGTAGACCTCACTGACCTTGAACCTGTAGAGATTCACCTGCCTTAGCCTCTGTAGTACTGGGATTAAAGGTGTACACCACCACACCCAGTTTTGGGAAATTTTTTTTCCTGTTTTTTTTTTCCCCAGACAGGGTCTCCCTGTGTAGTCCATGCTGGACACAATTTGAGTCCTTCCTGCGTTGGTCTCCAGTGTACTGGACTCATAGACATACATCACTATGCCTGGCTCTATTCAGTTGCATGTAGCAGTTAGCAATGTAGGCTTCAGAGCAGGAAACCCCACGTATTAAGTATGTGACCGTAAGCAATTTATTTACTATCTACTGAGCCTGATATCTCATCTGAATACAAATAGGAATAACTACTTTCTCCATTTGATTGTAGATTCATGTCATATGGAACACAGAAGAAGCACAAAGCTTTTTTTAGGCCTAAGTATATAAAAAGATAGCCACTTAGTCTGTTTTAAATTAGATTGGTTTCAAGCAGCATTCATTTGCCAATTGTTGAAAAGGTCACTGTGCTCTTACAGGCCTGTATGCTAGTTAATTCAACAAGTCAGTTGATACTAGTTATTGAAGTTAAGAAGATAAATAAGTTGGTTGGTGGTGGCACACACCTTTAATCATAGCACTTGGGAGGCAGAGGCAGGCGGATCTCAGTTCAGGGCCAGCCTGGTCTACAAAGTGGGTTTCAGGACAGCCAGGACTATTACACAGAGAAACCCTGTCTTGAAAAACCAAAAAAAAAGTGTCTATGAGTATGAGCATGTCAATAGCTGAAATGATTTTATCTTTTTTTTTTTTTTTGGTTTTTCAAGACAGGGTTTTTCTGTGTAGTTTTGGTGCCTGTCCTGGATCTCACTCTGTAGACCAGGCTGGCCTCAAACTCACAGAGATCTGCCTGGCTCTGCCTCCCAAGTACTGGGATTAAAGGCCTGAACCACTATTGCCCAGCTCATAGACACATTTTAAGCCATGAATCACACAGTGATATGTTAAGTATATTAGCATATGTTAATATAAGTATATGTTAAGTATTAATACCATAGATGATAATCTAATGTTGGGAAACACGAAGATAGTAATCTGACTCAGAATAGGAAGCAGACAAGATTGTCAAAGAGGACTTCTAGGCGTTGTGAATGGCCTGAGCTGAGTATTTGTGGAAGAATAATTAATGTTCTGGAAAGAATTTGAACGTATATGTAATGATAAGAATATGGAATAGTGGCTAGAGAGATGGCTTAGCATTAAGAGCATTGGTTGCCCTTCCAGAGGACTAAGGTTTGATTCTCAGCACCCACGTGTCTTAGTTAATTGTCATGGCAAAACGTCATGACAGAGGCAACTTACAAAATAAAGCATTAATTTGGGGTTCACAGTTCCAGAGGGTATTAGAGTCTGTGACAGTCATGGAGGGGAGCATGGCAGCAGGCATGGTGCTAAAGCAGTAGCTGAGAGCCCACATCTGATCCACAAGCCGGAGCGGAGAATCAACTAGTGTGGCATGGTCTTTAGAAACCTCAAAGCCCACCCTCAGTGACACACCTCCTCCAACAAGGCCACACCTAATCTTTCCCAAACAGTTTCAAACTTTAGACCAAGTATTCAAAAATATGAGCCCCGCTTGGGGACGGTGTCTGGTGCACGCCTGTAATCGCATCACTCAGGAGGCAGAGGTAGGCAGATCTCTGTGAATTCCTGGCCAGACTGGTCTACAGAGTGAGTTCCAGGGAAAGCCAGGACACAGAGAAACGCTGTCTCGAAAATAAATTAAATTAAAATTAATTAATTAATTAAAAAACATGAGCCTATGGAATCATTCTCTTTCAAACTACCACCCATGGTGGCACACAACCATCTGAAACTCTGGTCCAAGGGAATCCAATGCCCCCTTCTGGCCTCTTCAGATACTGCACCCACATGATGCACAGACACTCATTTTCTTAATGTCTGTGTCCTATACAAAAGTCTGCTTGTCCTATGCAATGGGTAATGCTTTGTGAATGCTTAATTCAACCATATATTACTTTTTATATAGGCCAGAAATTAATACAAATTAGCATTTTCAGTGTAGCACATTCATTTTACTCTCAAATATAGAATTAAGAATACGGGGAGGGGGAGGGCTGGAGAGATGGGTCAGAGTTTACACTGGCTGTTCTTTCAGAGGTCCTGAGTTCAATTCCCAGCAACTACATGTAATGTACATTACATTGTACATTACAACCATCTGTAATGAGATCTATGCAGGCTGTATACATAATAAATAAATAAATCTTTAAAAAAAAAAGAATATGAGTACTGGTGTAAATTGTTTACTTCACAAAGATGTTCCTTATAAATCAGTTTATCAAAACTTAAGTACTCACCCCAGGACAAATATAAATTCTCATGCTCTATATGCCAAAGACCTGAAGGAGACTGTTCGCCAACAAACACTGTGAGAAACCAAAGTCCAACAGAGAAGCTGAAGACTTCAGCAGCCTATGAGGAACTAAATCCTGCCAAGAACTGTGTAAACAAACTTGGACTCAAACCTTCCAGGCATACAGATGGGAGATCTAGCCTTGGCCCGATACTTTATTTGCACCCTTGTGGTGAAAACTGGGCAACCCAGCTGAGCAACAACCAGATTTTGACTGACAGATACTGAAATAATAAATATTCATTACTGTTGTCATTTACTTTTGAGACAACATCTCACATGGACCAGGCTGGTCTTAAACTTACCGTGTAATCAAAGATGACCCTGAATTTATCACTGAAGTCCTCTTGCCTGCATCCCCTGAGTGCTGAGATTACAGAAGTGTCACCACAACCAGCTGTAGAGTGCTGGGGATCAAACTCGGGGGTTCACCCATCCTAGGCAAGAACTAGACCAGTGAAGTTACAGCCTCAGCCCATGGGTGTTTTCTTTAGTCCACCTTCAACCAATATTTTGGTCAACTATTCAAAGGGATATCAAAACAAGTAATACAGATTGACTATACACTGCCTTAAGAACCTAGTGCTTCTTAACATTCATTAGATTTGCCCTGCGCAGTGAGTCCGGTGTCATAATACAGCGGCAGTACAGGGTGTGCTACTTAGGAGGCATGCAGTAAGTAGGAAGAAGATAGGTTTCTCCGTTCATTCTATCACTTTAGAATCTTGTCCTATGAAGATAAAGGTAAGTGTAAAGAAAATCTGCTGTTGGTAGAGCTTGGTGAACGTTAAACAACTAAGGATGCTCAGAGCCATATGAAGAATGGTGCTAAAGGCAATATCTACAAGCGCAATATAGATGTGTATGATTACATACCTGGACGATATCATCTGCAAAAACAATACTGCAAATAAAAGAGACAAACCGGGGGAAATAAGTACAACATGGTCCATTCATCTTTGATGTGTAAAATTTTCATATGAATTTAAAAGAAACCTACTTATACATGCTAATGTGCTTGAAAGTTGGATCTAAACTTAAGTCCAGATGCCCAAGAAAATGACAAAAAAGGTCAACTTTATTGTTGTTGTTTTTAATTTAGTTGGTTTCATTTTTTTTTTTTTTTGAGGCAAGTTCTTTTTATGTAGTCCTGGCTGTCCAGAAATTCACTATGTAAACTTGAGGCTGGCCTCAAATTCATTGATATCTGGCTGCTTTTGCCTTCCAAATGCTGGGATCACAGGCCTATGCCACCATGCCTCACAAATGTAATTAAAGAATAAAAAGAAAATATTAGTTTAACTTATTTAAACATTTCTTTTTTGTTATCTTTCATTCATTAAAATTTTTCTGAAATTAAAATGCAATTACATAGTTCCCCCTCCTCTTTTTTTATATTTTTATTTTGTGTCCGTTGGTGTTTTCCTTGCATATATATCTGTGTGAGGGTGTCAGAAGCCCTGGAACTGGAGTTACAGACAGTTGTAAACTGCCATATGGTTGCTGAAGAACCTAGAAGAACAGTCAGTGTTCTTAACCGCTGAGCCATCTCTCCAGTCCCCACTCCTCTTTTTAATATTAAGTAAATTTATTCATTTACTTTACATATCAACCTCAGTTTCCCCTCTTTCCTCTCCTCCTATTCCTTCCCCTGAACCCTCACCCATCCATTTTTCCTCTGTTTCTGTTCATAAAGGGGCAGGCCTCCCATGGGGGTCAACAAAGCATGGTATAGCAGGTTGAGGAAGGACTAAGCCCCTCCCCTTGTATTAAGGCTGAGCAAGGCAACCTGGTATGAGGAGTGGTTTCCTTTTGTTTATTATTATTATTATTATTAAATTTTCTATTCATATGTAAAATGAAGAGGAATAGGTTCCTAAAAGCCAGCCAAAGTGTCAGGGACAGGCCTTGCTCCCCCCACTAGGAGGTCCACAAGTAGATCAAGCTACACAATCAGCACACTTATGTAGAGGGCTCAGGTCGGTCCCACGGAGGCTCCCTAGCTGTCAGTCCAGTCTGTGAGTTCCTATGACAGGTGGTGGTGCCGGTGCACACAGGGCATCGCTCTTCCTTTTTTTGTTTGTTTGTTTGGGGGGGGCGATTTCGAGACAGGGTTTCTCTGTGTAGCCCTGGCTGTCCTGGAATTCACTCTGTAGACCAGGCTGGCCTTGAACTCAGAGATCCACCTGCCTCCCAAGTGCTAGGATTAAAGATGTGCACCACCATCACCCAGCTTATAGCTTTTTGTTTTAAAATATTCCACCCCCTTATTACTCCTATGCAAAAGAAGAGACAGAACACAAAATGTCAAAATGATTGTAATGACAGTTGGAAGGTTTCCCAAGGGACAGAAAGATAGCAAGCAAATGCAATTCTTGGAGTGCAAACAGTTGCAGAAGGACTGAAGGACCTGCTTTGGGCTTGCTTGTGTGGCTGTTTCTGTTTGCAAAAGGCTTTAGTTGCTAACCCTATCTGCCCATCATTCTCTGACCTTTCTAGGCCTCCCAGGGGATTGCAGCGTAAGGAGTAAGAGTTTGAGTGAAGAGCTGTTGAAGTCCTAATTCTGCTTTCATTTTTTAAAAGAAACTAGACTTGATAAACTCCAGGACACATGAGTTCAAGTAATAAGAAGAAAATCAGAAAAGAGAAAGTATTAGTGGACCAGACTGATTTTTTTCCTTTTTTCTTTGGGTGTGTATGTAGGGACTGTGTGCATGTGGGTGTGAGTGAAGTAGTGAGTGGAGGTCAGAGGTCAATTTCAAATAACTTCTTTATCATTCATCACCTTAATGTTTATTATTTATTTATTTATTTATTTATTTATTTATTTATTTATTTATTTTGAGGCAGAATCTCCCATTGGACTGGAGTTCTGATTTGGCTAGACTATCTGAATGGCAAGCCCCAAGGATCCTCCTTTCTCTACCTCCCCAGGGCTGTTGGGGTTACCTGCACCCTCACCCCTGGGTTTTATGTGGGTGCTAGGGATCTGAACTCAAGTCCTCACGCATGCATGGAAGTGCTTTATCACTGAGCCATTTCCCCAGCCCCTATACTGCTTTTTCAAAGACCAGTCTGTGATAATAAATTACTGCTGTGGAAACTACATGATATCTACAAAATAAAGAGCAATAATTTGCTATATTGCACACAACTACACTAGTTGAAATGAGAATGGTCACGGATGTTTATAATCCCAGCACACAGGAGGCTGAAAAAGAAGCATTACTGCAAGTTCAGGGCAAGCCAGGACTACATAGTGATCTTGTCTTAAGTAATAATAATGGTGATAATAATAATAATTCTTTAACTGGGTTACCACCAGAAAGTGCTGGTGGACCTTCTCACTTCAAGTAGTCTGATCCAAAAAATCCCTCACATTATTGCCCAACAACTTGCCTTTTAGTTGATTCCAGATCCAGCCAACCTAGACTGACCAGTGCATTTGGCTGCTAACAAAACCTTTAAAGCCTGTCTCAGGTTCAGTTGTAGAGTGCTTACCCAGCATGCACAAAGGTCTGGGTTCCGAGCATGGAGTCATCCTTAATCTGCATTCGCTCCTTTAATCTTGTTTTTATTGGAGCAATAGGGTAGAGGCTCTGGAGTCTAAGTGCTTGGTTTCAAATTCCAAGCCACCAGTAACTATGTCATCTTGCTGTGAACTTTATTGGCTTCATTTGTAAGGTAGAGGAGCTAATAGTACTTCATTTGTAGGAGTGGGTAAAGATCCTATGAGATATTATCTATAAAATGCTCAACACAGTGCTTGGCACACATAGAAAATGTTCAATAAACATTAGATACTTATTATTCAAAGTAAACAGACTTTAAACTGATAACACGATGGGCAGAAATGTCACTAAAACAAGAGGTCAAAGAGGCTGAATTGGAGTTTAGAAGCAGAAGAGAAAGACAAGGGCATGGGGTGGAGAGGGCAAGACTGGGTCAGAGCCACATAATAGCTGGCAGGAAACTGGACTCGGGAAAACCGTAAGGAAGAGTTCCTGTGTACTTGGGGATACAGGGGAATTGGGGACCTTAGAGGTTTAGTTGAAGTGGGGTGGGGAAGATGGACTTACTCTTGTTTGCCTTGCCCAGGGCAACTGGGGAACAAAAGAGCTGAAATCCAAAGTCTGGGCAGAAATGGAAAGGGACTGAGGATACCTGGGGCTGGAGAGAAGGCTCAGTTGGTCATGTGTTTGCTGTACAAGCATGAAAACCCTGTAAAATGTCAAGCATGGCGACTCAGGACTATAATCCCAGTGCTGGAGAGGTAGAGAGAGGATGGTTAGCCAATCCAGTGAAATATAAGAGCTTCGGGTACAGTGAGAGTCCTTATCTCAAAACTAAAGTGAGTGGACCTGGAGAGATGACTCAATCATGTGTGCTGCTCACACAGAGGACCCCAGCTCGGTTTCCAGCATCTGCAGAGATTCTCAACCACCTGTAACTCCAGTTCCAGGGGATGTAACTCCCTCTTCCAGCTTCTGCGGGCATTGTGTTCACGTGGCACACTTACAAACACACATGTAAGACACTCATAAAATGAAAAAAATAAGTCTTTAAAAAAAAAAAAGAGAGAGAGAGAAAACATGCCGGGCGGTGGTGGCGCACGCCTTTAATCCCAGCACTCGGGAGGCAGAGCCAGGCGGATCGCTGTGAGTTCGAGGCCAGCCTGGGCTACCAAGTGAGCTCCAGGAAAGGCGCAAAACTACGCAGAGAAACCCTGTCTCGAAAAAAACCAAAAAAAAAAAAAACAAAAAAAACGAGAGAGAGAGAGAAAACTTAAGGTGAAGCAATTGAGGAAGATATCTAATGTAAATCTCTAGCTCTTGAATGTACACACACACATACAAAGCACACACAACTCATACAACATATAACACATACACCATACACAACACACACAAAAGAAATTGGAAGTATTAAAAATTATTGATTAGTTGTATAGCTAAAAGGGACTCTAATGTTACATCAGGGAAAACTGAAACTCATTAAAATGAACTGACTCCCATATCTCCAAAGTGGCCGGAAGCAAAACACACGGGAGATTTTCAGTCACTTTATACTGCAGTGCTCACTGATGTGAGTTCTTAAAATTCAACATTTGTGATAGTCGCTTAAAAAAAGTCCATGCATTCCTAAATACCTTCTTGGGACTGATGGTAGATTGATTTGATAGTTTTGTTTGTTTGTTTTGTTTTGTTTGTTTTTGGAGACAGAGTTTCTCTGTGTAGCTATGGAACCTTTCCTAGAACTCACTCTGTAGCCCAGGCTGGCCTCGAACTCACAGAGATCCTCCTGGCTCTGCCTCCCGAGTGCTGGGATTAAAGGCGTGTGCCACCACTGCCCGGCCTGATAAAATTTTTTTAATGTTCTTATTTTTAATGTATTAAACATCTATTTATTTGGGGAGTGGCCTGTAGAAGTCAGGTGTAAGTTCTCTCTGTCCACCACATGGGACCCAGAGATCAAACTTAGGCCATCACCTTGCCAGCCCAGGGTAAAAGAAACTATGAGTAGTACTCCTCAGAGATACCCTTCTTGGGCTCCATCTCCAGAGATTTTGATAAAATATGGTGAAAACATGAGATCTGTATTGTTAAAAAACAAACTATTCATGTATTTTCTTGATAAACCAAGAACTACCTAGTATGCCGTCTCTCCATAACTGTAACAAGTATCTGTAATAACCAGCTTGGAAGAGTCCAGCTTGGTGGTACACGCATGTCATCCTGGCATTTGGGAGGCTGTAGCCGAGAGAGTATGAATTTGAGCCAGCCTGAACAAAGAAACAGACAAAACAAAAAAGAAGAGTGAGGGAGGCAGGGAGAGGAGAAGCAAATGTTTATTTTGAACTCACAGTTTCAAAGACTTCAGCCCATGGTCATTTGGTGCTCTTTCTTTTAAGCCAGGCCTTCTGTCAAGGCAGGGGGCCCGTGAAATAGCAAAACCATTCACTTCATAGCAGCTGAGAAGCAAAAGAGAGACCAGAAAGGGCCAGAGTCCCCTTTAAGAATATATTCTCGTGGCTAAAGAGATAGCTCAGGGGTAAGAGTACTTAACAGCTGCATGTATATGGTGCCCACCATACACACATGCAGGCAAACCACTCACACATACAATTTAAATTATTATTTGGCTTATTACTACAATTTATTTGGTTTCTTACTACTTATGACAAATATTCCTCAATTTCTTCTGGAAATTTCCTCAAAAGCCTTTTGAGACACCACCATCAGCCTTAGCCAGTCAGAGAACAGAATCATCCTGAGGTTGGTCCCACAGATAGCATAGATTTTTAAACTGGTTGTTATTAAACCTGCCTGTGACCCTTGGCCACATTCATCTGGGTGGATGTGTGGTCCTTGGCACCAAGGATGCGGTTGCTCTCAGAGCATCTCCTCAGCACTCCGTGAATTTGCTGGCAGAGTTCTGTATGTAGAGACTGTTCTTGCTCCTCCAGGTCCAGTGTAAGCACAGGAAGCAATACTTATTTTATTCTTATTATATGTGTGTGAATGTTTGGCCTGTGTGTAGGTCTGTGCACTAAAACCCATAAAAAGATGGAGAGAATCAATGCTACAATGTTGTCCTCTAACCTTGTCAGGTACCTTCGGGGGCCAGAAGTGGCCATCAGATCCCTGAGACTTGGGGTTACAGATGGTTATGAGCTGCCATGTAGGTGCTGATAACCAAACCCAGTAAGTGATGGATCTACAGCAGAGGATTTGTTCACTAGACACATGCAAGTCTGAAAGGTGAGAGCATTAAGGCACAAATGAGAAGGAAGCAAGAGGGGGAAGTTGGGAAAGGAAATGAGACCTAGGCATTGGGAAGCTGTTGGAAGAACTATTGGAATTCAAAACACAGGCAGGCAGGGCAAGGCAGCGTTACATATAATTGTCATTATCATGTGAAGTCGAGGTTATCTGTCCCAGTGCTTTCCTACATGGACTGTGGACCAGTAAGGCACGCATCACCGAGAGACTCTGAAGAGTCAGAACCTCAGATCCCTCTAGAATCAACTGAATCAGAATTTTGCTTGTTAACAAACAAGCAAAGACTGAATTTAGAAATCTAACCCAGTGGCATATAATGTAATACAGAGAAAAGAGTCTGGAGGTAAAGAGGTAATCTAGGAGCTAAGGCCCTAGATTCACTCTCCATTACAAATCAATAAATAGGATTGACAAGCATAGGGCTGGAGCGAACCTGCTGCTCTTGCAAAGGACCCAGGTTCAGCTCCCAGCAACTGCATGGTGGCTCACAGCCCTCTCTAACTCCAGTTCCAGGGAATCGGTGCCCTCTTTTGGCCTCCCTGGCAGCAGGCACACACGGGTGCACAGACTTATATGCAGGCAAATGTATTCATTAAACAGATCGATAACCACAAGCATTTGCAGGTTAACGACTAAAACTCATACATCCTATCAAGAACATAACAGGAAAAGATCTTTGAATAGTTCCATGTATATTTCTTTTTCTTTTTCTTTTCTTTCTTTCTTTCTTTTTTTTTTTTTGGTTTTTTGAGACAGGGTTTCTCTGTGTAGCCTTGGAACCTGTCCTGGATCTCACTCTGTAGCCCAGGCTGGCCTCGAACTCACAGAGATTCACCTGCCTCTGCCTCCCAAATGCTGGGATTAAAGGTGCGTGCCACCATGCCCGGCCCATGTATATTTCTATCCTAAGAGCTTTGATTCTTTGTTTTAAAAAACAAGTTTTAATTTCATTTAATATGTATGAATGTTTTGCATGCGTGTGTGTGTGTGTGTGTGTGTGTGTGTGTGTGTGTGTGTATGTGTGTGTGTGTGGTACCACTTGCATGCCTGTTGTCTGCGGAGGTCAGAGGAGGTGGTGGTTCTCCTGGAACTGGAATTACAGATAGTTATGAACTGCCATGTGTGCACTAGAAACCAAACCCAGGTCCTCTCCAAGAGCAACACGTGCTCTTAACCACTGAGACAACTCTCCAGGCCTGACTTTCACTCTTTTTTTTTTTTTTTTTTCGAGACAGGGTTTCTCTGTGTAGCTTTGCGCCTTTCCTGGAACTCACTCTGTAGACCAGGCTGGCCTCGAACTCGCAGAGATCCGCCTGCCTCTGCCTCCCAAGTGCTGGGATTAAAGGCGTGCGCCACCACCACCCGGCCTGGCTTTCACTTTTAAGCATTCATCTAACAGAACTGAGCATTTATGTCCACAAAAGAGATTTGCAAGAATGCTTGTAACAAGTTCATTCATAATGGCTGAAAATGAAAATAATCTAAATGATCATTAAGTGAAAAAAGAGTTTGTAACACATTCACATAAGTGAATAACTCAGTAGATAAAAAGGAAAATAAAGTCCTGCACACAGAGAAATATGCATGACATTCATGGGTATTGAGCCAAAGACTAGACACAAAGGAGTATTATAAACATACATACATGTATATTATGATACTAAAATAAGGTCTCACGTAGCACAGGTTGACCTCAAACTCACTATGTATTTGAGGACAAGCTAAGGAAGGATTAAGCTTCTGAACTTCTTGCCTCCACCTCCCAGGTGCTGGAACTACATGCGTGAACCACCGTACCCGGTATTATGCAGTGCTGGGGACCAAACCCCGGGTTTCAGACATGCTGGGCAAACATTCTACCACCGAAACTATACCCCCAGCTACAAATGGAGCACATATTAATTATTCCATCTATATAAATATTTAAAACAACAAAAATCAATTTTATTTGTTTCTGAGACAGGGTTTCTCTGTGTAGCTTTGGAGCCTGTCCTGGAACTCACTTTGTAGACCAGGCTGGCCTTGAACTCACAGAGATCCATCACTCTCTGCCTCCCAAGTGCTGGGATTAAAGATGTGTGCCACCACCGCCCGGCTCAAAAACTGATTTTTATCCTTACCACATCAACCCTCTCCAAACCTTCTTCTGGAGGAGCCAGCTCTTCCCATCT